GGAGCACTCTGCAACAGAGGCAAGGTGAATTTTGTTGCAATTTTCATGTCAAATTATGCAGTCATGCACTTTTGCAAATTGCATGAATGCAATATTTTATTGAAAATAAAATCAGGCTTCCTCCACCCTGCTTAAAAAGTTTGCTTTCTGCAGACGAGGGCATGACTTTGAAACAGGATAGCCCTCTGAAAGGCAGCCCTACAAAGGAATGGCAGGATTGTGGGATAAACAGAAAGAGGATCTGGTCTTTTGGGATAGCTTAGCCATGCCTGTCCATTTGGCAAATGCATTTGTTCAACTGTTCCCTCCAAATAATGCTGTGATTTTCAATGACACCTAGACCCTCGCAGTGATTCACTGTTTCCATCTTTGCATTCTGAATCTTTTCCACATGAATTCATCACAAATTGTCTCAGAACTTTGCAGACGACAAGGTGACAATGACTCAGATTGGCTGCATTAGCGACATTGGTGGAGGGCTAACTGTCGGCAGGGATGTTGGGGACAACTGGCCCTATTGCTCTTAAAAAGCGTTGGGATCTTTCACACCCTGTCTGGATGACAGTCAGGATTTTGACTTCTTGTTTCAACCAAAACCCCCTTAGCAACAAAAATACAGAGCAGAAGTGTCAGTTTCTGCACTAATCATATTTGATGCAAGAGCTGTGGAGTTTCTCCACAATGTCTGCGGTCAACACTCATCCCTGAAATAATACTGAAGCCTATTGAATACTTGAATTAAATTCAGATTGTTGCGCGTGGGATCTTGCTGAGCTCAAACTGGCTGCTAATTTCTCTGAAATGCAACGGTAACAACCCTTCACAAGTACATCATTGACTCCAAAGATGTTTGAGATACTTTGATGTTGTGGAAGGTGCTTTATGAATGCAACTCTTCCTCGATCTTTCTCAGGTGGGGGTGGGTGGAGTTTGGGAGGGGGCGTAGTTTGTGTTCAGGAGTTTTAGGGTTAAGGCCACTTGTAGGCGAGCCTAATTCATTCCGTAATCTTGTAATGGAATGGGAAAAGTCTGGTAAAGCCTACCAATCTGTGGGATCATACATTTATATCATAAGAGGAAGGCCCATCCCGACTGTGCTGTCTCTTTAAAAGAGCTCCCCAGTTTCTCCCACTCAGCATTTTCTTCCCTCAGAATTGCCCAGATTCATACCAACCCCAAAAGCTCCTTTGAAATTTTAATCCATTGCCCTTTCAGGAAACATGTTCCAAATCTTCACACCCATTGTGTCTGAAACAACATTTCTGACTGTTTCCCTCCTCTGGCTCTTTTCCCAATTTGCTTCAATCTCTGGAGACCAACTCTTCTGCCACTGGGAATCCTTGCCCCTCATTGACTCGGTCAAAGCCCTTCAAGGTTTTGAACACTTCTATTCAATCTCCTCCTTCACTTTCTTTGTTCCGAGGAAAACAATCCCAGTTTCTCCCCAGTCTCTCCACAATAACTGAGGACTCTCAGCCCTGCTGCTATTCCAGTCAACATCCTCCCCAGCCTTTCCAACATCTTCGCTTTCTTCCTAGCTGTGCCATCCAGAATTGAACAAAGAACAAAGAAAGTTACAGCACAGGAACAGGCCCTTCGGCCCTCCAAGCCTGCACCAACATGCTGCCTGTCACAACTAAAACCCCCTACCCTTCCGGGGACCATATCCCTCTATTCCCATCCTATTCATATATTTGTTTAAAAGTCACTATCGTATCTGCTTCCACTACCTCCCCTGGCAGCGAGTTCTAGGCACCCACCACCCTCTGTGTAAAAAACTTGTCTCGTACATCACCTTTAAACCTTGCCCCTCGCACCTTAAACCTATGTCCCCCTGGTAACTGACTCTTCCAACCTGGGAAAAAGCTTCTGACTGTCCACTCTTTCCATGCCCTTCATAATCTTGGAGACCTCTATCAGGTCACCCCTCAACCTCCGTCGTTCCAGTGAGAACAACACAAGTTTCTCCAAATCTCCTCTAAGCTATTGCCCTCTATACCAGGCAGCATCCTGGTAATTTTTTTCTGTACCCTCTGCAAAGCCACCACATCTTTCTGGTAGTGTGGCAACCAGAATTGAACACAATATTCCAAATGCAGCCTAACTAAGGTTCTATAAAGCTACAACATTACCTGCCAATTTTTAAACTCGATGCTCTGGCCGATGAAGGTAAGTATGCCTTGTTGACTACATTTTCCACTTTCAGTGACCTGTGTGCCTGTACACCCAGATCCCTCTGCCTATCAGTTCTCTTAAGGGTTCTGCCATTTACTGTATATTTTCTGTCCGGATTAGACCTTCCAAAATGCATTACCTCACATTTTTCCACGCTAAACTCCATCTGCCATCTTTCTGCCCAAGTCACCAACTGATATATATGTCCTCTGACGGTCCTCATCGCTATCCGCAATTCCATCAACCTTTGTGTCATCTGCAAACTTACTAATCAAACCAGTCACAATTTCCTCCAAATCATGTATATATATTACAAATAGCAAATGTCCCAACACTGATCTCTGAGGAACGCCACTAGGCACAGCCCTCCATTCAGAAACACACCTTTCCATTGTTACCCTCTGTCTTCTATGACCAAGCCAGTTTTTTATCCATCTTGCAAGCTCACCTCTGACCCTGTGCAACTTTACCTTCTGCATCAGGCTGCCATGAGGGGCCTTATCAAAGGCCTTACTGAAGTCCATGTAGACAACATCCACTGCCCTAACCTTATCAATCATCTTCACCACTTCCTCAAAAAAACTCAATTAATTTAGTGAGACACGACCTCCCCTTCACAAAACCATGTTGCCTCTCGCTAATATGTCCACTTGTTTCCAAGTGGGAGTAAATCCTGTCTCAAAAAATCTTCTCCAATAATTTCTTTAACACTGACTCACCGGCCTATAATTAGCTAGATTTTCCTTGCCACCCTTCTTAAGCAAAGGAACAACATTGGATATTCTCCAATCCTCTGGGACCTCCCCTGGAGCCAATGAGGATACAAAGATGTCTCTCAAGGCCCCAGCAGTTTCTTCCCTTGCCACTCTCAGTATTCTGGGGTATATGCCATCAGGCCCTGGGGACTTGTCTACCTTAATGTTTTTCAAGACCCCCAATACCTCCTTCCTTTTGATCGCAACATGACCAAACTATCTACACACCTTTCCCCAGACTCATCATCCACCAAGTCCTTCTCTATAATGAACACAATACTTCAGTTGATACCAAGTCAGGTGACTTGGTAAAGTGTAGATCAACATTTTAGATGTTGTAATCTATAACCCTGGTGTGCCAAATGGGCGATCTACTCCTGGTGATGAGGGTTGGGATCAAGTATCATGCCAACATTCTGTTAACAGAGATTGAAGCAGGAGATCAATCTGCAGACAAACCACTTGCCTGTTTTTGATAACTGCGCTGAATTACAACACAGAAACAGGCCATTTGGCCCATCTGCCCTGTGTTGGTGTTTCTGCTCAACACAAGCCTTTTCCCACACTGTTTTCAATTCACTCTTTTTCTCTCTCATGTATCTCCCTTCAATATTTCAGTACTATTCCCCATGAACCAATTCTTAAAGGAGTGAGTTCCACATTATCTCAGTTCTCTGTGTTTAAGAGGCCACTCTTAATTCCCAATTGGATTTATTTGTGACTGACTCATACTGATGTTCCATCATTATGGTCTTACCTACACTCGGAAACAACCTCTTTGTAACCACCTTATCAAGACTGTTCAGCCTATCTTGATAAGTATATCCAAACAGTTCTTGTAGGATTTTCATAAAACGCTTGCCAGTCCTTTTAGCTCATTTCCTTCACCAACCAGCATTGAAACAAGAACTGTGTCAGAGGTGTGTGTATGATTCAATCATTTCATGGCAGGGATCACTGGTCTTATTCTTTTCAAAAATAAATGGGGCTTTCTCTTCCTATCATTGAGCAAAACCACATCCACAAAATTGTGGTGCACGAGAACCTGCGTCCAAAGGCCCCACAAAGTCCCATTTTCTACCTCTCATCAACTTGAATTCATCGCAATCGCCAGTGCCTGATATCATAACCTTTCCCATTCACCCATCAATGCTGATTAGAATCATCGAATCCCTTTCAGTATGGAAGCAGGCCATTCAGCCCATTGAATCTGCACAGAGCCTCCAAAGAGCATCCCACCCAGACACACCCCCTCCCCAATCCTGCATGGCTAACCCACCAAGCCTGCACATCCCTGGACACTATGGGCTATTTAGCATGGCCAATCCACCCTCACCTGCACTTCTTTGGACTGTGGGAGGAAACTGGAGCATGTGGAAGAAACCCACACAAACACAGGGAGAATGTGCAAACTCTACACAGACGGTTGCCTGAGGGTGGAACCTAACCCAGGTCCCTGGTGAGGCAGCTGTGCTAACCACTGATTCATCATACTACACTAATGCCACCCACACCAACCACCAAGGTGGTGGGTCCGCATTAAGCCTATTCTGGCGATGCCCTGATTTTATCACCTTTGGTCTTGTTTTCATATGTTTCAAATCCTAGTATCACAGAATGGTGACATTATGGATGGAGGACATTCAGCCCAAAATGCTGGCTGTGGGAAACCAACCTGCATTTCTTCACCTCTTTTCTCCTTCCCTCAAAATCCTAACGACTTCAGGTGGTTATCCAATCCCCTTTTGAAAGCCACAGTTGACTCTAACTCCTCCACTGCCACAGGCAGATCGTAACAAATCCTGATGATTTATAAATATGCTCTCTATGCTGGTTGTCCTCTTTTTCTTTCCCTTCGCCTTCAGTTGCAGTTATCCACCTGTTGACTTTCTTTCAATGGGAATGGCTTTACCCCTACTCACCCAGTCTCGCCTTCGACTGATATTGGACAACTGTGCTCTCCCCCTTCCCTTCTCCATGGGAAACGGCCCCACCAACTCCAATCTTCCCAGAGAACTGAAGTCACTTCAACCTGGAACCATTCTTGAAATCTTTCCAGCAGCTTCTTACCGGTTACAGATCGGTCTGAAAGTGCGGCACCCGGAATTGGGCAGAATACTGTAGTTGACATAGAGCTCATGAGGTCCCCTGTTTTTTATTTCCTATTTATACAGCACAGGATGCTGTACATCACAGTCCAAAGATGTGAAGGTTAGGGTGGATTGGCCGTGCTAAATTGCCTGTAGTGTTCAGGGATGTGTAGTTTAGGTGGGTTATAAGGGGATGGGTCTGGGTGGGATGCTCTGAGAATCAGTGTGGACTTGTTGGGTCAAACGGCCTGTTTCCACACTGTAGGGATTCTATGATTCTTGGATCCACAATGTCAAATTGCCCCGTCTCCTTCAGTGATTTCTATATATACATCAAGTTCCCTCTGATCCTGAACCCTATTGTACAATTAAATGGTTTATTTTATACTACAAACCAAATTGAACCATTTCTCATTTATCTACTTTCTGCGTAATCTGACACGGGCCCAACCCTCCTGTAGCCTGTCTATGTCCACTTAATGTATATCACTATCTCCCTCACAGTTCACAACATTTGCAAGTTTTGTATAATCTACTTACATAACATTCTCCTAGCCTCCCCACCTCTGTAACATTGTCAAACCCCTCCCTATCTCTAACCTCCTCCAGCCCCTACACCCCCTCCCTATCTCTAACATCCTCCAGCCCCTACACCCCTCCCTATCTCTGTAACCTCCACCAGCCCCTACAGCCCTCCCTATCTCTGTAACCCCCTCCAGCACCCACACCCCTCCCTAGCTCTGTAACGTCCTCTAGCCCCAACAACCCTCCCTAGCTCTGTAACTTCCTCTAGCCCCAACACCCCTCCCTAGCTCTGTAACTTCCTCTAATCTCTGCAACTCTATCCCTATCTACAACTCAGCATCACCCCTGAAACTTTTCCTATCTTTGTAACTGCCTAAAGCCCTGTATCACTCTGGAATCCCCGTCCTTCACCATTTTGTACATATTGTTTCCTCCTGTAGACAACTGAGATACCTTGGGTAGTGTCACCCCCACCAATCCTTCCTGTTAGTATTATTGGTATCAAGTGGGGAAGGATGCCCAGATGAAATCTTTGGCAGAATGTCAGCTCACTATCCAGAAATGGTAAGTATGCTTTTTACATATGACCAAATAGTCAGGAATGTTACATCTGAGATCCACGATGAACTCTTGTGAAATGCCAAGGGTCAATGTGCCAGCAACATTTGCACAAGGAAATTGATTTTAAACCTGATGGAATATGCATGAGCTATGATGAACAATGACCTATTTTAATTTCTTCATTCTCCTTTTTATTGTTACCGAAAGGTTGAAATTCTCAAAAGATGCTTGGGAATTTCCAAATCTGAGTGCATGCATGTAGCTGCTTTCCGAAAATAGACGGCATCTTGTCAATGACAAGATATAGCAAAGTAAATGCATAGATTAAATTATTGAACACACAAAACAAACTCATCTTCATGGTACGAAAACAGAAATTGTTGGGAAAGTTCAGCAGGTCAGGTAGCATCTGCAGAGAGAAATCAGAGTTAACGTTTCGGGTTGAGTGACCCTTCCTCAGAGCTAGGAGATGCAGCCAGACCTGCTGAGCTTTTCCAGCAATTTCTGTTTTTGTTTCTGATTTACAGCATCCGCAGTTCTTTCAGTTCTCACTCATCTTTCTGATTGTTGCTTTGCTGATCCTTGACACGGTCTTGAACATTTCTGGTGGAACCTGACGCTCAACAAGACTGTCATTTCTTTCTGCAGCATGTTTGTAACTGTAGTCCATCCCAGAAATTTTGAGAGACAACAAAGTGATTTTTTTCAAAGGTTTATAACCGCTGTAATGTAGGAAGTGCGATCACAAATTCACGCACAGAAATCTCCCCAAAACAACATTGTTTGATATGACACTGATGTAGACCGTAGTATCTTTCAGGGATAATAATTGCCAAGGATTTTGGAGAGAAATACTCCAGAGATTTTGTAAAACAACGTCAAGAGACCTCTGATGCCCTGATCTGAAGTCAGCCAGAGATACGATTGTAGATCTAAGGGTAACGTACTGACTTTCTGCATGAGGATTGATATCTGACCAGTCATAAAACAGTTACATTAACTTCGAAGGGGAAGGAAGAGGGGTGGCAGACAAACATAACGCTGAGATAACAAGGTGTAGAGCTGGATGAACACAGCAGGCCAAGCAGCATCAGAGGAGCAGGAAGGCTGATGTTTCGGGCCTAGACCCAACATAACCCTGTGCTGAATCTGAACATCTTCTATTCCAAAAAAGCCAAATTCAAATATGCAAATTTCACACACCTTTGCAAAAATGTGGTACTCCCTCACTTCTGAAAACAAAACATGCTGGAGATCCCAGTGGGTCAGTCACCATCCATGGAGAGACAGCAAGCCAACATTTTGAGTCTAGATGACTCTTCGTCAGAGCTGATGTGAAATTGGGAGAGAGCAGCATTTATACTGTAGTGCGGGGTTGGGGTGCTGGGGGATAGTTCAGATTAAGTGATCAGAACGTGAGAATGGCAGAACAATGGTGTGTCTAATTGGAAGATGGGGAAGAACAGGCAGTCCCACTGAGGTAGAGGGGAGGAGAGAGGACATGGTGACAGAGAATGTAGCAAGTCAAGCTAAAAGAATGGGAAGGAATGGGAGGGGGTTCACAATCTGAAGATGTTGTACTCAATATTAAGTCCGGAAAGTTGTAAAGTGCCCAGCCTGAAGGTGAGACACTGTCCTTCAGTTTTCACTGTGACTTACTGGAACACTGCTGCAACTCAAGGATAGAGAAGTGGGCATGTGAGCAGGATGCTATGTTAAAATGACCAGCTACAGGAAGGTCAGGGTCCTGCTTGCACACAGACCAGAGGTGTTCTGCAAAGCAGTCACCCGGTCTGCGTTTGGTTTCTCCAATGTAGAGTAGGCCACATCAGGTGCAGCGAATACAATACACAAGATTGGAGGAGGTTCAGGTGAAATGCAGCTTCACCTGGAAAGACTGTTTAGGCCCTTGGATGGTGAGCAGGGAGGAGAAGGGACAGGTTTTGCTCCTTCTGTGGTTACATGGGAAGGTGCCATGGGTAAGGGGGGAGGTGTCGGTGGTCAAGGAACGGACTAGGGTGTCCTGGAGGGAACAATACCTGTGAAATGCAGATGGCGAGTGAGGGGATGATATGTTTGGTGGTGGTGTTCTGCGAGAGTTGTCTGAAACGGCAAAGAATGATCCTTTGAACGGGGAGGCTGGTGGGATGGAAAGTCAGGAAAAGGGGAACCGGGTCACACTGCTGTGTGTGATGGGAACGGGCAAGGGCGGAAGCACGGGTGATTGGTCGAAAGTGGTTGAGGGCCCTGTCAATCACAGTGGGTGGGAAACAACAGTTATGGGAGAAGGAACCCATGTCAGCATCATTGGTTTGAAAGGTGGCATCATCTGAACAGATGCAATGTAGGGAAAGGAACTGGGAGAATGGGATTGGGTCCTTGCAGATTTACAATTCTCCCCCAAATCTCCTGCTTTCTCAGCACATTCCCTCCCACACCCGGTGGTACGGCAACTATTCTATCGTGGTATTTGCTCAGTGGTGATTGTATTAGTGCAATGTTTGATCCCAGCATGTGCAAGAGGCCATTCAACCCATTGTATCTGCGACAGGTGTTTTTTTTAGATCATCCTCACACGAATCGCCCTGAGCCACTCTCTCTCCATAGCCTTATGTCAATCTGAATTGATCATGCTGTCCTGCTCTGTCCACACTGCTCTGAATCAATCTCAAACCAATCCCACTGACTCATTCTCTCCCCATACCCTGTACCACCGGAAGCTAACTGAATTGGCCCACTCTCTCCCCATCACCCTGTGCCATCCCAAACCAGCCATGCCGCCTCATGCTCTCCCCATTCACCTGTATTAATCCCGAACTATTCCCATTGTCCTACACTTTCCCCATAGCCCTACATTAACCCCAAACAAATCCCACTTCCCTGCTCTCTACTCATAGTCTTGTATAAATCTCAAACTAATCCCACTGTCCCATGCTCTCCCCACGGCCCTGTATCAATCCCAAACCAATCTTGGTGCCCCACTATTTTTTTAAGGCAGGGCTGGAGGAAGCCATGGTCCAAAAATTAATTTCTCAGATATTCCCAAAAGTGAATCGGCAACTGCCATTGCTGGGATGCCATCTCTCCTGCAATCAATCACTTTCATTCTGTACCTCTGTAATTTGTTAAACCTCTCTCTATCTCAACTCTGTTGGTGTCTCTGTATCATTGGGCCAGGAAATCCTAAAAATGTTTTACCCAATCCTTCTCTTTTGCACATTAGTCACTGTGTGTGTGTGTGTGTGTGTGTGTGTGTGTCTGTGTGAGAGACAGAGACCGAGTGAGTGTGTGTGTGTTTGAGTGTGTACATGTGTGTGTGAGAGAGTGTGTTTGAGTGAGTGTGTGTATGTATGTTTGAATGTGTGTGTGTTTGTGTGTGCTTCAGTGTTAGTGCGTGTGTGTGAGTGAGTGTGTGTGTGTGTGTGTGTGTGTGTGTGTGTGAGAGTGTGTGAGTGAGTGAGTGTGTGTGTGTGTGTGTGAGTGAGTGTGTGTGTGAGTGTGTGTGTGAGTGAGTGTGTGTGTGTGTGTGTGTGTTCCTCTCTCCCTCTCTCTGTCATTGATCTCTCTCAGTAAAGTTACCAAGTCCTACTGTCTCATTACAGACATGTGATTGGTGCTGAGTTTGTCCTGAGAGGTGACCACACTAGGCAAGGGGCAATGTTGAGCAGGCTGGAATTTTGTGGTCAATTTCAACTGGTGCAGGAATCACTACAATGCTGTTGGACTCACACTGCATCACAAAACAACCAACAAAGTGAACCAATCCTCCTCTCCCATCCACTTCTCCTCCAATTAAACAGGTCCTTTCTGTCTTCTTTCATGATCCATCTTAGTTTCTTTTCACTTTCTTGTTCTTACTCACTCTCAGCCCAGACTTCCCATCTCTCTTTATCCATCTTTGCCTTTTCAGTCTTACTGTCAGCACACTTGTTTCAAATTCTCTCTCGCTTTGTCTCTCTCTCTCTCACACACACTCTCTCACTCACTCACTCGGACTGTCCTTTCCTCTCTTTATGTATCTCTCTATTTACATTTATCTCTAGATGTCTTCGCTACCTCTCAGAGATAGTAGGAACTGCAGATGCTGGAGAATCCGAGACAACAAGGTGCAGGGCTGGATGAACACAGCAGGCCAAGTTTGCCCTCCAGCAAGGGTGACACTGCCTGAGTCAAAAATAACAGGAAACAATGACACAGACAGACAAAGAGTGATACTAATAGAGAGGGAAAGGCAGATACTGAGATTGACGGAAGTAAAGGGGGAGCGAGAGAAAGACAGTCAGCGTGTGATAGAAGCCAGACAGAGAGGTAGCGAAACAACAAGGTGCAGGGCTGGATGAACACAGCAGGCCAAGCAGCATCATAGGAGCAGAGATGATGCTGCTTGGCCTGCTGTGTTC